ATGCACACACGCACAAAATTGAAAAACGTTGGCCTTCTCTCATTGACTAAACATGATAAATCAAACGAGATTCAAAAAATTGCACTTAGAAGGTTAGAAGAATAAAGAGGTTAGCGTACAGCAAATCCTACCCTCAAAATAATGTAAAAATTATGAACGGTAAGATTTTGAAGAAGTGATGTGAGTAAGGGATGAAGGATAAGATTTTGTGTAAATGGTGTATGTAAAAATTATGTGTAAATAAATTTATAAGCAATTAGAAATTAAAGTTTTGATCTTGATAATTTTCTATTAAATCAAGAGATGAATGAGTAATATGCATTCTTTTATTTTTAATGGAATAGATATTTGTTTATTCCTAATATTTTACCAAATTTTCTCAATTTTATCTTGTTGGTATAATTTTTTAAATGTTAATTCTAGTTCATGAACATTAGGTTTTTGTGGCGTTTTCATTCCTCAACTATTTTGTATACTTTTTTAATTCTTAACTCTAAAAAATGTATTTTTTTGCTCTTTTTATTAGTTAAACCGTTAAATTTATCTATCTATACATATTTTAATCTTTAAAATATAAGTTTGAAAACTAAAAATTATATATATATTATAAGTTTAGTGATTAAAATGCATATATTTAGATAAATTTAATAAATTAATTGATAAAATAACAAAAAAAAAACATTTTTTAGACTTATATGACTAAAAATATATATAAAATAATTGAGAAATGAAACTATGAAAAACCTTAAAGTTGAAGGATCAAAATGGCCATTTAATAGGTATAATTGGGAAAAAAAAAAAGTAAGTAACACCAGCAATATTGTGCAGGCTAGCGTAGACGATTTGAACTCCAGACCAAATATGACCGTTGAGGCCAAAACGCACCTTTCCTTTCTGTAACGGCTACTTCAATTTATCCCTTCTGTATTTCAAAAATTCACGAAAAATCAAAATCATTCCTTCCTCAAAACCTCCTCTGAATTCCTACTCCTTCGAAATCAAAATCAATCTCCTCCCTCTTCTCGCCGTGAAAAATCCTC